AATAGTCATGATGATTTTGTGTTTATGTTATTCTGACTGGTCTTTGCTGGACTTGGGTTTTTTTCCCCCAACTTCCTAATCCTATTATCTCATGTTTCTTTTGTGACTGAGTGTAACCTGGCTACGTGTGTGGCTTTCTCTGGCTATGGCTCCTGGCTGCGTGTTTATTAATTTTTCTGTACATGCCTTCTGGGTTATTTCTGCTACCTTACTACATCATTAAGCAAATCCATTGACTTTGCTTATTGGAAATCAGCAGGGAAAGTTGCAAATAGAGATCAAATGACTCTGGCAACCATCATGCTACAACCATCATAAATACATGCTAGTTGTCAAGTGCTTAAATTTTGATCACGTGACTATGGGGATACTGTGATGTTGTGGAGTCTTCTTTTTAAGGGGGGGGGGGGAGCATCTCACATCCCATCAAGGCCCTCAAAATTCATATTCCGTGTGCTTTCTGAGTGTCCAGAAATTAACTTGGAGCTCAAATGAAGTAAATATTCATAAACAGAAAAGCACTGCCAAATGAAAGCAACTCCCAACTTAAGCAGGGTGTAAGGAATACGGCCGATTGGGGAAGATCACCTAGATACAGCTAATCAACTACAAACCGCCTACTAAAAAGGCCCTAATCCTATTGGCGGCCTTCACGTGTTGGAGGTCGAGGGCGTGGTTCGGTCGGTGGAGCCAGGGCTAGAGCGCAGGCGCGGGCGTTTCATACGTTGCCCCTCTCTCTTTTTCTCTCTCTGTGCCTTCAACATTCGGTTCTTTTTTTTTTTTTTTGCCGAGTGGGGAGGCGTCGTCATTTCGAAGCTGAGGGAGAAGTTGGGGGAGGTGGAGGAGGGTCCTGCAGTCGCCGGCATAGAAGCCGCCTCTGAGAAGCGGGGAAGTGGCCTTCTAGTGATCCGACTCGGCGTTCAGGCCACGGGAAGCCAAAGCGCCGAGGGAAAGGGGGATTGCGAGCGGGAGCCGCCCTCTCCGCGCCGAATTGGGACCGTTCGGGGTAGTCCTAGGAATTGGGTGAGCCGAAGCCGCAGCTCCTTGCCGCCTTAGCTCAGGGAAGGGCCGTTTTCTGCAGGAGGACGACTGCCGCGGTGGGGGCTCTACCTGAGCCGGCCGAAGTATAGCTTTTCCCCCCTCTTTTTTTCTTTTAAATGAAAAATCGCTACGACGGTGTCTAGTGTTTACCCGGCTCAAATAGCCCTACCCCGGGTAGGAGTAAATATTTACTCTCCCTCCTCCGCATTCCCCTGAGAACACACGGGCGTTCGTGCGTGACACTATTAGGAGGAATCCCCGAGACTTAAAATACCGGAGGTTTGGGGTTATTTATTTGATTGATTATGTGATTTGATTCGATTTGACAATCGTTTACAAGACAATAGGTATAAGAATAAACATGAGGATGAATGAAATGGGTACGAATAAATGGGGGCAGTAAGACAGGGACGGTAGGCGCGATGGTGGGCTTATGCGCTCCCCTTACCCTCTTAGGAATGGGGTGAGGTCCAGGATAGACAGTTTAAGGTTAAAGTTTTGGAGATTTGAAGATTTGAACAGCAGAGTCAGGTAGTGTATGCCAGCCAGGCATTGACCATTCTGTTGCTGAAGTATTTTCCGCTTTATACTTTATATATCCGTGTTCAAAATAATTATTAGCGTAAATACTCCTGACTTTTTCCTTATCCGTTTCTTATCTCTGCCATTTCTATTTAATTGCAATCATTGGTACTGTGGGGAAAGGAGGGAGGGAGAGATGAGAACGTGTTTATTGCTGCTGCTGCGGATCACTTTTAGCTTTACTTATTGCTTCCTTCATGCCATGATCCCAAGTTGTTTTAAAAAAACTTTCCACCTGTGTCTTTTTCCAGTTTCATTGCTTTGACTTTTTGTTGTTGTTGTTGGGAAGAATGATGTGTGGAGCTTATTTTTATCCATATTTCCAAGGAGGGATTAAGAAACTGATGCTTAGTGTTATTGTTAAAGGCGCAAAGATGTGTAACATAAATGTGAATTGAAATCTGTAAGAAAAAGCCTAATAGTGTCTTGTAAGGATGACTGACAATCCTTGGATAGTTTTTGCCATTGACTTGTGTCAGCATTTATTATTTTGTCTGATAAGCAAGACCACAGGCCACACTGAGATTTGATGATTTTATTTTGTCAAGTTTGTGTTAGGAAATATCAATAGTCTTGCAGATGGGTGGCTGAGCTTTTAGATTGGATTCATCTTGCAAATTCATTTAGAATTACTACCTTTTATATAGCTGACGGTGTTAACAGTATCTTGACTTACTATTATGTGACATATAGTAATAATTCCTTGTTTGTTATCCCTTTTGCCATTGGGTACAAAGAGCTTCTGAATTATGAGTTTTCATTCCTTTCTCCTTGCAACATGGAGTCAAATTAACTAAAAGCATTTGCTTGTTTTTTAAAGCAATTTGTTCAGTCTTAAACCTTCGGTTAATGGATCAAAGTACTTGTGAAATTGGAATTTTCCCCTAAAATTTAAAGTTAACTACAGTACTGGATTTGGTCATGATTCAGCATTTCATATGGAGATGAACAGAATGTGTCAAATAAACAATGGACGTTATCTCATACTTTAACATTTAGATGTGCCAAACTCTTCTGCATGTGGACATGAGGAAATTATTTTTGAGGATATTCTATATTTAAAAAGAGCAGTAAAGAAAACTTTCTTGCTGACACGCGTAAAAGTGGAGTTGATATAATAACAATAGATAGGATGACTGACTGCAGAAATGCACTGAAAGCTGGTAGCATTTGTTGGAATGCAGAAGCACTTTTTTCTGCTTTTCAATTGACTATCAAATAAAATGCCTACTAATTCTCTAATGCGTATCTTATAATTTTCCCCAAGTCAAACTTTTTTTTAAATAAATGGACTATTCCAATAATTGTTTATTGTCTGGCTATTTTAGTTATTTCTTATATTTTGTGTACTCCATTTAAGAAGATAGAATAATGTAATGATAACATGGCTCATAATACCCATACAATACTTGAGGGAAGAGCTCTCAACTTCCTGTTATAGGAACTGATTTTAGAAGAGTGCCATAGTTTATATACTCCTTTATGGTGTATGCACATGAATGCAATTTTATAAAAGGGGGGGAAATTTGACTAGGAGTAGAAGAAAAAGTTTACTGCACCTGTGTTAAGAAGATTAAAGGTTTGATTTATGGTTCTCCCCCAACAAGATAAACAATATCTATTGGCTATTTAAGGAAGACATTTTTGTGTCATGCTTCAAAAAATGTAAATTTTATTTCATATATATTTTTCCTAGGGGGAAAATGCTTCTAAGCATGGATATTCTGTGTTTTCTGAAAACTATTATTGCTTTCATTTGTTACATTTTTCCCCCTTCGGAAGCTGATATATGCAGGATTCTTTTCAACAGTCCTGCACAATATTTTTATTCTCAGGTGCTTTGTCATTACGAAATAATTAACCCATTTTCCTAGTATGATGGGATATTTAGTTCTAAATTCTGAAAATACTACCATTGAATTGCTTGTATATTAATGCTTCAAACTCATAACGCCTGCCAATTTTCCATGTAAAATTCAAGTGTTTTTCTATTGCAGGTAAAGATGCAGGAAGCAGATCTAGTAGCAAAAATGCTTCGAGCTGTTCTCCAGTCTCATAAAACTGGAGTGCCCTTTTCCCATTTGCAAGGGGAATATAAATCTTTAACTGGAGATTGGATTCCTTTCAAGCAGCTGGGACATGCTACATTAGAGGGATATCTGAAGAGCATTCCTGGAGTTGTTAGAATTGAAATTAGCAAAAGTGGTGAGGTGAGATATCCTTTCTTTATAATTAAGCTATATGTGCAATAATTGTAAACATTCCACAAATGGAAACTTGTTAAGAGTTGTATAGTGATTATTTTAACACAAAGCAAAGCCTATATCCAGATATTTGTGCATACTTATCACTTTAGTGACTGTCCTTGAATAGTTCACGTGGGATAACAGTATGTAGTCTTTATATTTATTTGTAATAAATATACAAAGATCCATTTAAATCTTTTGAGCACTGCCCCCAAAATGTGAGGAAATCTACATGTTTTAAAGGTAATAACATATTAAACTTACATGCTGCCTGACTCAGTGGCTTTGGGTCATTCCTAGCAATCACATTACAATAAAATTAATAAAATATTAAAAATGGCAAGTGCACTCTCCCTTGCCACAGGCCTGGGTGAAGAGCCAGGTCTTCATGGCTCTTCTAAATAACAGAAGAGTGTAGGCCATCTAGATATTGGTTAGACCTTCTATCCAGGTTCTGCTACAGAGAAGGTGTGCTCCCATAGTTCTGATATAGGACATTATTTAATCAAAGACACTCAGGAGCATGCCAACCCTGCAGAATCAAATTGGCTGCGCAGATTATTGTGGGAGACAATCCCTCAAGTAACCAGGTACTGCGCTTGATGGGGCTTTATAGACAGCAACCAATCCCTTGAATGCTACCAAGAAAAAAAAAAGAGCAACCACTGTAGCTCACAAACCAGAAATTTTACATAAGCATACTGAGGCATGCCTATTGCTGCCCACACAATCATATTCTGGATATGTTAAAACCTCCTTTGCTATTAAAAGACAACCCCAAGTAGAGCACATTACAGGAATGAAGCCACAAGTTGACTAGGACACGATTGACTGAAGGACTGATCTAGAAAAAGGGTGCAAAATGTGCACCAGATGAAATTATGCAAAGTCTTTTTTTCCCCACACCTACTCTTCTAGCAGAAGTTGTGAGGCCAGGAAGAGCCCAGCTTGTATACCAACTTCAGAGGGGGGAATTGCTGCCCAATCCAAAGTAGCCAATGAGTTTCATGCCAGCTCTTTGATTTCATCACAAATTCATCTCCCTCTCTCTTTGTAGCCTCCAGCAGCTCTTGCAGCCTCAGAAACTTTGTTTGCAGGGCTTCATGATAGACTAAAAAGTTAGTACAATACTGGATTTTGTGAGTCACAAAAAATTCCCATACAGAAACAAAAAGACAACATCCATGCCGATCTCTCAAATGTAACCCATCTGATTGCCATTTTTTTTTAAAAAGCACCAATACTTGTTTGATCTTGTTTGATTTATATGCTGAGCATAATGTTTCTAAATGGCACTGTAGAGCATAATATAGTACCTAAGAGTGTTCCATATTTTCTGCTCTGAAAACTAACATTACCATAATCTGTAGAGTTGTGGCAGATGTGTAGATGTAAACTAAGTTTACTTTTTAGCACAATCCGAGCCAATGCAAAGAGAGTTTGAAATGGCTTCATAAAGTATACAAAAAAGTATCTCCCATAATTAGGAATATGTTAAGTTATTAATACATAATCCATCTATGTTTCTTTCCACCCGACATAGGTAACTTGCCATGCTGTTGTTTGCCAGGAGACTGCAAGAATTGCTAAGCTTGTAGCCTGCCAGAGAACTTCCAAAAAAAAATCAAAACGGCAAGTGAATTGCCAGATGAGGCTGAAAAATACAACCCCCCTCGCCTCAATAGGTAAGCTTGTCAGTTGCAAAACACCATGCTTAGAGCACACTGAATGAATCAGCTACTTGCTAATCATGCTGAGCTTTTCTAGTGGCATTTCTGCTGACTGCAGTGAACAGTACTTATGCTTGGACAGTTCCTCACAGCGCCCCTCACAGCTGCATGGTAAAGTTGCTAATGTTGGAAAGAAAAAGAACTATGCCTATTATGCCATAATATATTATGTAATTCAACCTCTAATTTCATAATCCCATGATATTTATAAATTCATAATTCACTAAGTTGATACAAAAGTGAATTCTTCAGTATTTGGTTATTTTCTAAAATGCAGATTTCCTAAACAACTTTAAAATTTAACAATTTTAAAATGACTATCCTATAAGCTCATGGATTGCATGCACTCCTGGCCTGTCCAGGAGTTTTTGTCCGTGCTAAACTTCTGTGACAAATTGGCATTTTTCAAAACAGTCAAACGTTACCTTTTCCAAAGCAAATTAAAGATTATATTGGATGTTTATTTCTGTGGGATGGTGACACACACATACACACGGGTCAAAGTGCTTCAACTTTGCTGACTCAGTGACATCATTGTGTTACTTGGACTTGCCCTTTGTAGCCTGTTGAATACTCATTGTGTGTGTGTGTGTGTGTGTNATATTGGATGTTTATTTCTGTGGGATGGTGACACACACATACACACGGGTCAAAGTGCTTCAACTTTGCTGACTCAGTGACATCATTGTGTTACTTGGACTTGCCCTTTGTAGCCTGTTGAATACTCATTGTGTGTGTGTGTGTGTGTGTGTGTGTGTATGAGAGGGAGGGAGGGATATCTATCTATCTATCTATCTATCTATCTATCTATCTATCTATCTATCTATCTATCTATCTATCTATCTATCTATCTATCTATCTTACCTAAGCTGGAAGAATTCTGATATAAGCTAGTAACATTAAAACTAATTATACATTTAGATACCAATTGTTTATGTAAAATATGCTTTCTTATCAGATTCTCAGTAAAGACATAACTTCTACAGAAATACTTCTTAGTCATAGGTAAATAGAAAATGAGGATTAGGATGTTATGTCTATTTTGTTGTATTTTAGGCAAACCAAAGGACACTCTGAGAAAACCTGGGTTCATGAGTTTTTCAGAAGAGGCTACGAGGGGTACAGTCCCACTGCTGAGAGGCAAGGGAAACCATACAGTTGTGAATCCTAGTATGAACCTTGCATCATATCCTTTATCCCCTGAATTTAGGACGGCTATGCCTAATGAAGTTTTAATACAAGGACATGTGACCATGGTGAACAGGTTAGAAAACTTGTCAATGGTTGTTGAAATGATATTTTAGAACTCTGGGTATCCTTAAGATTAAATTGCTATTTAATGGTAAAAGCAGGTATTCCAAATATAAACTTCAACAATAAGTGAAAGCATTATAGGAATTATAGACCAATAGCCTCCATTGTTTTACCCTGGAGATGAGAAAGTCAGAAAACAATTAGTTCAAACATGCTTGGTATAAACAAACGTTCATCATTGGACAAAAATTAAAATAAAACAAATATAAAAATAATAATTAAAGTAATTAAATTGATTAAAAGTAAACAAAAAATAAATCCAAAGGGCAGACTGCATGGACCACCAAGTCTTTTTCTGCTATCAATTTTCTATGTTTCTGTGATGGGGAAATACTTGAAAAATGCTAGCTAAAGGAGGAAGAGGAAGATCTGTATAATGTAAGAACCTAGAGAAGAGAAATTGTATAAGCAGGCTTTTTCTGATTTTTTTTTTGTCTGGGATAAATATTGTCATGGAGGATTGCTTCACAATATTTTCTTTGATAATGATTAATGAAATACTTTCTAAAATGTTAGTTAACACTACATCGTAGCATAAATAAAGCTTTAAATCAGTTCCTACACAGGTGACAATCTTGAACCCAAGTAATCAAGTATGTTCGTTCTGATGGCAATGTTTTAGTGTAATGTATGAATTGCTCCACTTTTCACTTTCTTTATATATCTCCATCAGAGAAATGAACAGACATTAATATTAGACATACATAGTGAAGAAATAAATGTGGAAAAGCAGAGGAATTTCCTAGTTTATATAAGATCTTTAGCTTCTGGGGATTCTTTCTACAATATTAAGAGAAACTTAATATGCTAGTTATCCTTAGCTTTACTGAAGGTAAAACTGTACCAATTTCCTTTAGTTGTTTTACTGCTTGAATAATCTGTATTGAAGAGTGTAAAATAATATCCATATAGCTAAAATAATACTGTGATATCAAAATGGGCAATAGTCCATTTTTAAAGTTAGACAAAACTGAACTGTTACGTCCTATTCTGTGATTCTGCAGATTCAATTATAAGGAAAAGAGATGAGCTTTATTCTAGATATTTAGTGATCTAGTAGTATTGTCCCCTTCCCCCTTTCACATTCTAAAAAATCAAAATTGACAAACTCAGCTGCTGTGCCATCACTTCTCCATGTATTGTTTGCTGCTGTTGTAGATCATCAAATAATGATACAGATAGACCAGCAAGGACTGTTGTGACTGGATTTTTCAGACTAGTTCATATTGCCTTGTTAATCCTCCTATTACGCTTTTAGGAAAATGGTGCTTTCAAACTAATATATTAGTACTATTGTCAGTCCTTTTAGTTGAGAGAATCAGCCGTTTGAGGTGGGCCAGATCAAGAAACAAACACCATAATAATTATAAGAATGTTAGTTTATTGTTGTAGGGTACACTAGTAGAATTTTAAAAGCCTCTAGGTTTATCTCGGATCACTGTACATCATACATTAAAATCAAGGCAGAGTACTTTGGGTTTTTTGTCATGCTTCCTTCTATTCCTGAACTCTGTAATCTCTTGTTCAAGTTCCTTCTTAACAACAGATTTCTTCCTCCTTTAAAGTCTCTGTCATAACTTCTCCAAGTCAGCTCTTCATTCCTTTACAAAGGAGTTAATTTAGGTGGAGAGTGTATCTCCTAAATTCATTGTGATTTAGACATGAATAGAAATAGCAATAGCACTTAGACTTATATACAGCTTCACAGTGCTTTACAGCAAACTCTAAATGTTTACAGAGTCAGCATATTGCCCCCAACAATCTGATGTCCTCATTTTATGGAAGGATGGAAGGCTGAGTCAACCTTGAGCCAGTCAGGGTCAAACTCATGGAGTGAACAGTGAGTTAGCCTGCAGTACTGCATTCTAACCACTGCACCAACACGGCTGTTTTTAATACAGAAGAAGAGGAATTATGTAAGAAAACATGGAACACCATGTATCAAATACAAAATATTCCATACACCTCTGTTAAAAATATACTCTGCTTTCCATACTAGGTTAGTCCATTATTTCCCATTTTTCACATATAAACACAAAGATAGCTGTGGACAATTAGCAACTATAAATCTAGATATTCTCTTTCCCATCTTGCCTGAAATGACTGGGGAATAGGCTTTTAGTAGGGGAAGGAAATCTATCTACAGTAGAATTGGGAAGCAGCCTATAATAAAATACTTTGCTGTACAACAAACTTAAAAGAACAAAATACGTTGTTCATGAAAAAATTCTGAACTTCTCCAGAACACTCCATCAAGCACTATATTGAGCAAAAGTGAGAATTAAGTAGAAGAAAAAAAGTTGATACCCAAAGGCCAAATATAGTCCCAGTTTTAGGATGATATGCACGAGAGAACAAGTGATTTAAATTGATTATAAAATACCTTTATTAGATCCTGCGAAGGGAAAAAACAGTTTGGGGGATATTGGGACAAACTGAAATTGAACACAAAATTGATAGTTTTAATTGAACCTAATAAATATTACTCAGTTGCAGATTTGTATTGAATTGAAGTATTTTCTGCTAAGTGCTTTGTAAATTCTAGGTTAAACCAAGAATTGTAGGGCCAATGGAAATAACAATAATTACCCCATTTATGAAAATATGAAATTCTATGGTTATATGGATGAGACTTGCATTATGTGATATATTTTTAAAAATGCTAGCCCTTATATTTTCAAAATAATAGATCGTTCAATATTAACTACTTTCTGTATATTCCCGAAGATTGAGAGACTGAATAGTAGCTCAGGATCCCTCAAATACTGCCCAACTATGATAGACCTGATATTTTTAGCTATTGTTTGCCAGTGTATAAATTGGCTCATGTTTTTTACGGTTGCAATGAGTAACTTTCCTGGGGTCATGTAATCACCTTTTGCAATCTTCTGACAAGCAAAGTCAATGGGGAAGCGAGATTCATTTTACAACTGTGTTACTAACTTAACAATTGGAGTGATTCACTTAATAGCTTTGGTAAAAAAGTTCATAAAATGGGGCAAAATTCACTTAACAACTGTATAATGTTCTGCCAATGGCCACAACCCGCCCTTTCCAGTTTTTCCCCCTAATTTACTAGAGGTTGGAGTTGCTGGTTTTTAGGATAGCTCTGTTTCTGCAAAGATAAGCAACAGAGTTTTCTTGCCTTATTTTCTGTGCGTTGTTTAGTCACTGTACCATACAAGGGTAAGGAAATTCATGAAAATCTTTTCCTGACAGCCCAACAAACTGTCACATTCTCTGATGATGGAAGCCAGTGAGGTCTGCAAAGATAGAGGATTCTGTGGTGGTTGATCTTGCAGAACTGAAAACAGATTGGCAGAAATTTTAACTTCCCTCATGAGCAGTTTTACAGCACAGAAAATAATCAGCTTTCATAATTCATGCTGAATTCTTTGTTTTGGTTTCCTGTAGCTGAGCCTGATACCTAATTTTTAATTTGTTTTGCCCAGTTTGTTTAGGTATATTCATCTGCTTATATGTTTGTTTAAACACCAATTTATGTGGATTTCCTATTGAAAAGAGTTTACTTTCAGTTGTTCAGCATAACTTGCATGGAATAAAATAGCTCTATTTCATGTAGTAAGGTAACAGCCACAGCACCTGAAAACAAGAATGCAGGTATAGAGTCTGTATGGTATATTGATTGTTTATCTGCAATATTTAAAAAAATGAAAATCTGAGTCTTCACTTTTTAGGCCTGAGAGAAGGCTTGTGGTTCCACCAAGATTTCAAAAAGAGCTTCAAGTTTATTTGACAAGAAATGTGCCTTTGGACATCAACGGTATGTTATTAGAGGTCCACATGTAGTTCTCATTCATGTTTTATCCAGTTAACTTGATATATCCAAAATAAGGTATCTGCTGATGGCAAGTTCTCTAAGACTACAGTTCTGAGTTAGATGGGCAAACAAAAGTTTATACATTATTCTCATCCATGGCTCATCACAATTACTAGATTCATGCAATATCCTAAGGCAGAGGAATTCTATATTATCACCTGTAGCTTTCCAAATTTTATAAAAAAATAAAATTAAGCCCTTTTATCTATGAGTACAGATGAGTGTGTGTTAATGTATCAAACTGAATGTACTTTCACAATCTAAATTGTGACCCAAAAGTCTTGCAGGTGAAATAAAGTGGTTGCATTCAGTTAGGCATTCCCTTTTCATTGTTCTATGATCAATTTGGAATTTGTATTTGCATTGATTGGTAGTATTTATACATTCCCCTACTTTCTGTTACCTTTACATGTTTAGAATAATGAACTTAACTTCAAAACAGAATTGTAGGGGAAGCATACCTGAAGTAATTCAGCAGCGCCAACACATTCATTCCTCTTAGCACTTAAAAAAAGGAATTATGCTATGGCAAGGAAGACGCAATTATTATGACAATTGACTGTCTATTAATGGATCTATAAGCAAACATCAACAGCCAACTTTGCTTTAAAGCTTGCAATATAATGGTGCTTTGTAGGAGTACCTTCACAGGTGAAAGAAAATTCATTATCTGTGATTATTTGAATATTTATGTATGTTTTTAATTTTTTTAAGTTGCAGTTACTGAGTTTAAAGATTTCTGAATCATCCCCCCTCACAAAGAAAATCTAATTGCTACAATACTTGTGTGATGGTTTAATTGTGGCTTATTAAATAAAACATACTATATACTATTAATAGTTATTGTTACTTTCAAACTAAATTTATTCAAGAACATGTATTTCCTTTTGCAGAAAATGTAAAAGAACCAAGACAATTAACACAACCAGTGCCCCCTCGCAACTCAAATACTGATTTAAATGAGATTCAGAAAAGAATAAAGGACATCATAAATCAATTCAAAAATGGAATATGGTTATCGAAGATACCACACTTGTACAGAGAGGCATATGATGAAGAATTTAATACAACTTTGCTGACACAATTTGAATACTGGCCACATGTTTGTGTGGTAGGTGCTAACTTTATCATAGAAGATAAAATTATTTGTAGACTAATTTTCTGATTTGAATGTAGGTTTAAAATTTTTAAATAAAAATCTTTAGGATGGTTTATTTGGAAATCAGAATTTAAAATCAGTTTGTAAAAATCTTAATAGGATTATTAAAATGTTGAAGCTTGTCTATAGCAGTGTTTCTCAACCTTGGCAACTTGAAGATGTCTGGACTTCAACTCCCAGAATTCCCCAGCCAGCATTCGCTGGCTGGGGAATTCTGGGAGTTGAAGTCCAGACATCTTCAAGTTGCCAAGGTTGAGAAACACTGGTCTATAGGAATATATAGAATTCCATTCTGAATAAAATTGTTGTTGAGGGCTTCCTGATGAATTTATAGCTGTCAATCTCATGTTTTAGAATCCTAGAAGTATCACTGTACAGTATCTTAGCAAAACCATCAGTTGAACTTCTGTATCTGATGTCCTTCTGTGTATGCCTCTCACCTGAGTTCACCAGAGTTCTTAATACTCAAATTATGAACATTTTTTAACAAACAAAATGATTACTCAGATAAAATCTTTTTGTATGTTTGCTCCGAGGTAAATCAGACACGATTCAATATAAATTCTTTGAATTCAAATTCTTTGAAATGGATTTAGAAAGAATTGCCACCTTAAACATTGTCATTTAATATCTCTGCATGTAATCAAAGGGAGAGTAGAAAATTGGTATCCCTGGGCAGCATTAACTTTGCAGATCAAAGGGCAATATAGATTAAAAAACAAATTATTTTAAGTTGTGTTTCTAGCTAGGCTTGGATTAAAAGGGGACATACCTAGCAACATAAAGAACATGCACTTGTAGATGGGAACATGCTATATTTGTCTTGAAATGTACAGTCTTGCATTATCAATTGTAAGTTAAAGATTGCATTCTCACATGCATAGTCCACTGAGACTTTTCCCAATTTATTTTATGTTTAAATAAGTTTAAACCTAAACTAATTTCCAAATGTTTGTTTACAGGATTAACCCATTTTTAAAATGCCCATTAAATGCCCATTAAAAATCAGTGATACCTTGGTCTGATTCCCATTGCCTGAAGGTCCCAGATGTATTGTCTTTTGATTTCCCAAATTCCTAGACAGAATGACATTTGAATACATCAATTGGTAACTATGAGAGTTGCAGTCTAGTAACTTTAGGGACTATGGTTGTAATAAATTGCCATAGCTATAAAAAAATGGGAGATTCAGCCAATTAAAGTGATTTGGGTTGGAAAGATTTACCTGAACATAAGCAAAAGAGGTAAGTATTTCTTCCAAAATCTGGACAGTCTTTTCTCACAAGTTTATATATTAGGCTTATATGCTGCTCCAAGGTTTAGCGTGTTAGACCTCTAAACAATAGTAAATTGAAAAAAAATACGATATCAAAATTATTTAGTTATTGGGGAAAGCATAATGGGTGTAAAGTCTTACCTTTCAGGAGGAGAACAAATACATTCCCACATACACCAAAATGTTGCTGAGATCATTAAAATTACAATAATTCTGTAACAGTTTTACAAAAGAGCATGCATATTGGATATCTAGAGTAATACTGTTCCAGAGAAGGGAACAGTAACTGAGAAGGCCCAACAACTCTGGGCTATCTGCAGATGGCATTCCAGGTGTTGGGGACCATGAGGGAGGAGATTTCTCTTCCTGTTTTGAAAGGAAGAAGATGGTCTTGCAGATATATAGATTTTGAATGAGCTTATGTAGCATTGACCTTGAATATTTTACTCAAATGCGATTTTTAAATAGCTGCCTCTTCTGTTTTTTCAAAGGCAGAGAAGGTATCTTCCGGTGGCCAAAGAGATATAATTCTCTACCCTCCTGGGAAAATGCATCACCCAGGAAAGGGCGTTTCAAGCCAAGAAAGAAAGCCTCTGCCTCCTTTACTGAAACAGAGTGTGGAAACTAAAACTGCTACTGTCCACGGAGACTTCAAGCAAAATATCGCAGCCATCTTGACAAAATATTCCAGTGGTCTTTGGGCTAATGCACTCCCAAAAGTGTATGAAGACACATACAAAGCAGCGTTGCCTCAGAATGTTTTGGACAATCTTGGCTCGCTTTCAGATGTATGTACGGTCAGTACCATTTCTGAAAATCCAAAAAAGGCAATTCTCTATGCAAAGCCAAAACAGCAGCCAGGAAAGGACCTGAATATTATTGCTAAGAATTCCCCGTGCGAAAGCATACAGAAACCAGTCGAGCACCAGTCTACTAAAGCAAAGCAGGACTCCCAAGGGGATGATTTTGAACACATTCCTATACCTCCTTTAATTATCCCAGAAGAAATATCACCATCTGTGTTGGTAGTGGACCTATATTCTACAAATGATGTTGTCGTTAGGTATGTTTATAAACCTCTCTTTGACATTTCTCTGGTGCATAGAGTTGTTGGTCAAAGTACTGGTCAGAGACCAGGAGACTGAGGTCTAATCCTGCCTTAGACATGAAAGCCAGCTGGGTGGCTTTGGGCCAGTCACAGATTCTCAGCCCAGCCCACTTCCCAGAGGAGTTGTGGACAAACGGCACAGGAGTATTCGATACTTTTGCTACCTTGAGTTATTTATAAAAAGGGTGGGATACGAATCTAATAATTTTTTGTAGTATCAGGAAAAATTTGCAGTATCCGAGAATTTTTATTCTCTTAAGTCTTCAAACTAAACATGTTTTTAAAAAATTGGAAAAAGCACTTCAGACTTCATGAAAGCTGAATTTATTTCCTGCTAGATAAAGCAGCCTCTCTTTTCACCCAAACTGTTTTAAAATTGGTTTTTTTTTAAAAAAATGCCACTGTAATTTAGTTCATTACAGCAGCAGCATATTTTTTTCAAGTTCAGATGAAAACCTAAAAAAAAATAACATGAAATCTAAAACATTTGTGTATTATTTTTGAAATATATTAAACCTTTATTACTGTCATGAGGTCAGTAGGTTTTTGAAGCATACACAATCTTACTGGGCACAGTCCATTAAATTTTAACTACACATTTTCTCCAGAATAATCATGTTAAAATTCTGACAAGATACTTCCTCTCTAAATTGATTCAACAGTAACAATAAATCTGAAATAGGAGTAAAATTGGGGCTGAATTTGTTGAATAAAATCCATTTAATGTTAAAGCCCACGTTTTGATTTGAAAACTAGATCTGCTTTAAATGCTAAATTAAAAGTTACATTTGAATGTGAAAGAAAGAGGAAGAGAACAATATTCTGAGATTGAATCAGCAAGTCACAAATAGACATAAATTTAGGAAATCTATTCTGTAAAATCATGATTTCCTACTAGACTATTTTTGCCTACAAGTTTTATTATACTACTGTATTGGTATAATTTTAAACTATATTTTGTATTGAATGATGTGTGCGTATTGTATATATCTGTGTATTGTGTCTGTATATATCTTCTTACTTACCTACCTACCTTCGTATAATAATATGCTAATATATTAGTATTCTGGTTTATTTCTAATGGTATACTACTAATATGTGAACATATTAATATAGTTTTGACCTAGATTTTATTCAGTTAAAGAAAAAGGACAGTTTAATTAAAATACACTGCTACACTTTAGATCAGTTAAAGCTTCTGTGTGGTCTTCAAGAGCAGCCCCAAAGAGAGCACATTGCAGTAGTCAAGTTCTCAGATGACCATTTCAAAGACCTTTCAATCTGAATCTGTGAAGATCTTTTTGGCCATAATTACCACTTGAGTTTTGAGTCCAAGCTGACTCCTAGTTTTTTAACACTCTTGAATGGGGGGAGTACTTCCCTTTTCAAAGTTTCAGCAGATATAAATGGCCCAATGTTCCACAGATACTTGCTGTTAGTAAGATGAAGTTCAAACCAATTGATTATTAAACTAGGTAATCTGACAATATAGTGAAGCAAGCTTTTTTTTAATGTTAGGTAAAGGTGTCCCCTGTACATGCTAATTTATTGCTTTTTGTAACTGATGAACATTCCAGATGATACTGTGTTACATGTATGTCTTTATTGGTGGAGGTAGTTCATAAAGACACTCTCATACCAGAAACATACCCCTCAACAAATTGTGGGATCTATTAAAGGCTAAGAACATAAAAACATAAACACTGATTATCCTGAATTACTACCATTTGGGTGATCACTGAGAGTATATGAAATCAATCAGACATATTCAGAAGAACATAAACTTGAAACTCCTGTGTAAACTTGTATTTATAGCATTCAAGGATTTCAAACAATGCATTCATTCAAATATAAAATATTATATATATATTTCATTGGAAATGATTTAGTAATAATAGCCATATTTCTGTCTGATCTCTCTGAATCTGTTCAGATATGTATGTATGTATGTATGTATGTATCTCTGTGTGTGTGTGTGTGTGTGTGTGTGTGTGTAACAATTATCCTGCTACATTTAATTTATTAACATTTCTATAATCTTATTCCAGTAGTCCAATATTATCTGTTTAAAGCAGATAATAAAATATATAAAGAGAAGCATACTAACAGATTCAGCAGTAATATATATTTTACTATACAATACGCAAATTGAAATGTTATTTCATTTGACTATCATAAATCCCCAAATCTGAAAATAATTATATATTGGTCCATGGATTATATAAATAACCCAATTGTTTTAAATGCTCTGGCATTTTAAAAACTGAAAACAAAGCAAAACAAAAAATCAAACAACCTTTAAGCTTTGTCACCAGGCTGCCACAATTTCAGCAAAGAATCAAAGTGCAACAGATTGAATGCTTCCTCTATGTCTATGGGTTCATCTGTCAGCATTTCTTGCTGCCTATCCTGTCAGACTCCTTTTGTTTTCCTCTTTGGAAATATACTCCTGATTTACTCCTTTTGTAACTGATTCAGTGATACCTATCGCTCCAAGCCATGCATATAATTTATCTTTGGGGTTTGTGCTATTTTGATGCTGTGCTTTCTTCTTCATTGGTAATAAATTGCCTCCATCCACAAGTAATGGTACATCTGATGCTGTAAATCTTTCTTTCCTTGCTAAGATTTTTTTCAATTCCCTTAGCATTACAGCAAGCATCGGGTGTAGTAAGCTGTATTTTGTGAGATGAGTGGCTATTTAAATGTAATTAATACGTACATACATACATACAAACAAGGTCTTTGTTTCAAGTAACATCTAAATATGAATTCCAATTGGATGCATTAGGTATCTCTCTTTTTGCAACTGGCTTTAAAAGTTCACCCAACCACCTTTTTCTCTAGGATTTGTTTTAAATAAGTTAGATTTAAATGACTCACTGTTTCCCTGAATGCTCTACTCTGTTACACCTCTGCTGAAATCTCTGCCATTTTATTTCTAATTTCTGGTAGTAGATTACATTATGTACTTTCGTAAGTCACTTTCTCTACAAACAAAAGGCTTGGATAACGAGAACCTCTGCTAAATACTAAAAGCACTGTACATAACATGTAATTTGTATTTTTATTAATCTTACACTGAAGCATCTTGTGTTGGATTCTCCCATTCCAAAAGAGTATATATAAAAAAATGAAGGTATTTTTGTTTTAAATATATTTTGGGATTAGATACTGTTTTAATTTAAAAATCAATGTATTTAAGAACTCATGTAATAAAAAGCATAGTAAACACTATGATTCCAAAGTTTGGTTGCATTAACTTTAGAATACAGGTAGTCCTCAACATACAACCACAATTGGGACCAGAATTTCTGTTGCTAAGCAAGGCAGTTGTTGAGTGAGTCACACCCAATTTTACAACAGTTTTGCCACAGCTGTTAAGCAAATCATTGTAGTTGTTAAGTGAATCCCATAGTCATTCAGCAAATCCAGCTTCCCCCATTGATTTTGCTTGTTGGAAGCTGGCTGGGAAGGTTACAGATGGTGATTACATGACCCTGGGACCCTGCCACCATTGTAAATATGTCAAACACGCACATTTTCATCATGTGACTTGCGGAGAAGCTGTGACAGTCATAAGTCACTTTCATCAGTGCCAGTGTAAAACCTTGGTCACTAAATGAATGGTTGTAAGTCAAAGACTACCTGTATTAGCTCTTCAACTGCTCCGATTGTTCATAGTTACTGATTTATACTAAGTAGTCGTGTCCAACTGAAATCCATAGGTACGTGGGCGCAAACTATTCTGGTGCCCAGGAATCCATGGAAGAAGAGATGAAAGATTGGTACAGTCGGAATGCCTCAGTTTTGCAAATCCAGTCTCCTAAAGTTGGACAAGTTGTTGCTGCACTTGCAGAAGAAGATGCTTGGCTGCGAGCACAAATTATTTCAACAGAGGGCAATAGAATAAAGGCAAGTGCAAAAAGTGTCTATTGAAAATTGTATCAACAATGGATGCTGAAATGTTAGAATTTCATTCTAATCAGTTCGTTTATTGTTATAGCATATATTTCTGACCATATGATTAAAAATATCCAATCAAAGAATTTGGTAAAATTCTATTAAGGCAACCAGAGAATTAAGTCAGCCATAGGTATAGCAATAGAATTGTTTGTCCTTGCCTTACTGCTAAAATCTCTGCTTCTGAAATAGTTTTTGTCTTTTACTGGTTATTATACCAGTATTTCACCTGTGGGGAAATTGTAATTCTTGGGATATGGGTTCTTTGTTCATTACACTTATATAGCTGTCTTGCATTCAGAACCTGAAGGTGGTATTTGTGTTACTCCCTCCTCTCTTTTTGCCCCACAATATGTGGACTAAGTTGGTCTGAGAATGTAATTAGGCTATAGTCCTCCAATGAGTTTCCATGGTTGGAACTTCAGTTCTAGTCCATTACCTTCACCACTACATCATAGTGGCTCTTCACCATCCCACCAGTTCCTGACAGCATGGCCTCTACATATTGAGAACTGCACTTAGCAGTTTTCCTGCTTCCTAGCAGTCCCTTTCTCCTGGTTGGAAGTAGGGGTAAGCATGTAGGAAAGCACACGTATAATAAATTTAGATTTTCCTGTTCTGTGTATGGTCCTTGGCATAAGGAAGAAAGGGAAAGGAGTCATAATCTTCAATCCCATTTGTACCTAAAATCTCTTGCCCACAAATAGACTATTTTAAAACTTTCTTGTGAACAGAAATAATGCTCTATATGAACAACGTGGTTGCATATCTTATAGCTTAATATTTCCAGTGGCATGGATTGATCTCAGCATGGTGTTAAAGCATATTTTAGAATTAGTATACTTCAAAATAATCCCTGAATATTTCAATTTTTCTGGAAGGAAAGAAGACTATAGAAACTGCAAGACAAAAACAAACAAACACACACTACCCTCTCCTGAAAACTTGACACCTTTTATTAAATAGCTTCTCATGGTTGTAAAGCAGTTGGGTTGTTATTGGCATGCTTGCAGCTTGAACAGCCAATTGATGTGCTGGGTGAAGATAGTGGGAGTTATAGCCACATTTGAAAGGCAAATCTCAGCGAAAGTGCAAAGAACTGTATTGTGACTAATTAAGATTCCTGATTATCTCTTACTTTGATGTGTTTCTAGGTATGCTACGTTGATTATGGTTTTAATGAAATCATTGAAAATTCCAGAGTGTACAAATTAGCCAAGCAGTTCTATAAATTGCCATTCCAGGCTTCCAAATGTAAACTAGCTGGTAAGATGTGCCTTTTTCTTTTCCATAGGTACAAATGCTGTTTGTACTCTTAGAGTTGACACAATGAGTGGGCTGACCTTATGGCTGGTTTTCTCTGAAGTCAAGTTGAGATCAAGGCAGACCTCTTTTTGTGATTAAATTTATTTTTTGAAACTGTATAATAAAAGCATTCATCTGAGCTAAAAAGGTTTTTATTTGATAATGTGTTTAAAACTTTCCAGAATTTCATTCCACCTTAGTATGGAACCATGCCAGCACATTCATTTTGCACATAAGAAAATGGCAGAGCCATTGTTTCTAGCTGACATGAGTTAGACTTTGACTTTAATACTTTTCATGATACTTTATAGCAGTGTTTTTCAACCACTGTGCCGCGGCACACTAGTGTGCCGTGACATAGTGTAAGGTGTGCCGTGGGAGAATTACTTTATATATAGTC